TAGCTATACACTGTGCCTTGAATAATTCTCTTCCTAGCTGCAGAATCACTCTCTTTTCACAATCTTACTTCAGTAAAAATGTCTTTTCCTTAGTATCTTCAGTGCAGTGCTTAGACACTATGCTGGAGCAAAGTGCTGCCTGTCACCAGACTCTGAGGTCCTGGAGGTAAGCAACTGTGCCACCATCCAGTCACCTTTATGGCTCTGGTATCTAGTGCAAGGCCTGGCACATGGGAGTCACTGCCAATGACCAGTTCCATGAAATTACTAACAGACTTCTGAGTATTACCAGTCTTCACTGTCCAATACAGTAGCCATCAGCCACATGTGGCTGAACAGAGGTATGCTGTAAGAGCAAAGACAAACCAAATTTCAAAGACAATACAAAATAATGAAAACTGTCTCAGCAATTTTTACATTGCTCTCACACTGAAATGATAGTACTTTGATTACTGGGTTAAAGAAAATATATTATTAAAATTAATATCATGATTCTTTTACATTTCTTAAATGGCTATTAAACTATGTATGTTTGGCATTATATTTCTGTTGGATAATGCTGGACTAAACCAAAGATTATTTTCATGTACAAATCACATCAAGTATTTTGTACCTGATTATGTCTTTTGGTAGAATGGAAATTCAGTTATAACGTCCGAAGAGACATGAAGCCTGTGTTCAGAATAGCCAGAGGACATAAGACACTTTAGTTTTTTAGATCTTTCAGTCCATATATCCTACACTTTAGTATGTTCACTGTTATAAAGAAAAAGTAAATCCAACTCTTGCTATATTCTTTTTACATTAAATCAAAGTCTTACTAGGGACATGTAATACCCATGTAACCAAACTTAAATAGCTCTGGCTATACGTGCTTTTGCTTCATGCTCTCAGTCTCTGGCATCCTGAGTAGTCAGCCAGCCCTCCCTTCCCTGGCTCTTTCCACTGACCCCAGAAGACCAGGCTCAAATAACACACTCATCAAAAGCCCTAGACAGGCACATCAGGGAGAGACACCCTATAAATAGACACATGGAAACAGAGTGCTCTGTACTGATACCTCACTCCCTTTGCCTCCCAAATGTTTGTTCCCTATAATGAGTTAAATGAGAATGCCATGAAAAATTTTACTTCTGTCAGGTTAGACTGACAGATTTTACATAGGCACCTGCAAAGCAGCAGCTAAATGTGATTTTTATTTTGGATACTGCTCTTGCAAAAATGAACTGAGCTTAAATAGAGAATTTAAGAGGCCAAAGAGATCAATTCAAAATAAAAATGAGAAGTTTCTAAGCAGTCTGTGGACAAAGCTAAAACAGCTGGGTTTCACTGGGTCACACTTAGAAAAATAAAAATCACAACAAAACACAAACAAACATGTCTAGTTATACACCTCTCTCCCCACAAAGACCTGAGTCCTACACACTCAGCACTGGCACATACTGCATGTTCAGGGACAAGTTGTTGGCAGAAAACATGCATGCAGGTGTCTGTTAGTCACAGGAATGTTGCACCCTTTTTTTAAAAATCTGATTTTGTTTTGTTTTTAATCCTGAGTATTGTAGTAAAGGGAACATAGCTTTCAAATTTTATTCAGAATAAAATACAGTCACCACCATGGACTACAAAGCCCTACATGATCTGCAATCCAGCTGCCTCTTAAGACTCAGCTCTGCCCACCCTGCCCCTCGCCTAGCACCCCAGCAACCTAGCCACACTGTCCCACCTCAGCACCCTTGTGCTGCCTAGAGCAGTGATGGCGAACCTTCAGAGCTTTCAGTGGAACAACCTGCTGCAGCACACATACTGTGGGTTCGTTGTCACTGGCCTAGAATACCACTGCTTCACCTGACTCAAATGCCTCAGGACCAGAGAGGCTGTCTTAACAATCCTCCCCAACCCCCCACAAGCACAACACATCTGTATCCCACTGTACTGGTCTTCACATAACTTCTGGTCACCCAGTGTAGCCCATATTTCTTTAACAGTATAATTATTTGTCTTCCCAGATGGGAAAGTGTGTCAGGAGAGCAGGGATTTTGTTCTTTTGGTCCACTGTCGATTCCCTCAGAAGTACCTGGCATATCAAAAGAGTTCAATAAATATCTAGTGAATGAATAAATTAATAAATATTAGATTGAATCCAGACATCTGAAGTCTAATTCTTCCACTAAAAAGCTGTGTGACTTTGAAAAAAAACAGCATTGACACTCAATTTCTGAATCTATAAAAGGACCATTGAAATAGGTGTTTCTAAAGCTCTGCTACCTATAATACCCTGGAGGGTTTTATAGATCTGTCATTTACAAATAATATTGCATGAAATTTTAGCAATGGAAGAATATAACTTGATACTCACAAACCACAACCCCCATGGGATGTTGCAGTGTGATTCAAATCCTGCTCCAGGCAAAGCCCTCAAACACCCTTCTAGGAACGTTCACCTCAGCCTTGCTCTACCTCAGGTGCTACTCACACACCTTTTATTCCGTTTCTTCTTCCAGTTCATGACAGAAGCATGTTTCTCCATTTTGCCACTCAGGAGAAAAACATCTCCTGAGGACAGCCAGGGACTCGTAACTAGATTATCTAATGTTATCTCCAGCGCTCCACACAGTCTGTAGCGCCCACAAATTGTCCATTAGTGAATGAACTTACAAACAGAAAAGAAATTATGGCTAATTCTACATACTATACCTGGAAGGGGAAATGAAAGGCTTATAAGTAGATACTTTTTAAAGTTTATTTCCCTGGTACCAAAATGTGCTACAACTCATGTAGAAACTGAAAATTAGAGTCTGGGATATAGCTCAGCAGCACAGCGTCTACCTGGCAAGTGCAAGGTCCTGAGTTTGACTCTTAGTACTAGGAAAAGAAAAGAAACAGGAAAGTTTGATAAAGAAAAATTTCTGAATGGTGGTTAGACAACCACTATTAACCCTACAGTTCACTTTTATTGACCTTCTTACACTTTCTCTAGTACATCTTTTACTTTATGATTGACATCATACTAAACTATATTTTACAATGTTTTTAAATTCAATATATTTTCCATATCACTTCTAAGCTTCAAAAATAGTGTATTTTTGTATTTTTCTTTTTAAATGAAAAAATTTTCATAAACAAATCATAAAATAACATTATTATGTTTTAACTTTTATGTGCCCTTAACCTAAAAAAAAAAAAGTCTGTAAGCACAGGTTCTGAGGATGTTTCTGACCACTGTGACTGCAGACGACTGTCCTTTGAGGAGAATGACATCCACTATGACACAGCAGTCTCTTCTGTCCTCACTAAGCTCTCTTGGGGCAGCAGTGGAGCCATTCCACAACACCTACAGTGAGATGAGTGGTCACTGGCTTGGCAGACATAGACCTGGCTTCTCACATGTCCTAGCTTTATGACCCCAGGGGATGAGATGAAGCTCCAGTGTCCTAATATCTAACAAGATAGTCTCTGGACAGACTGCTGGAGGGTTGGGGTGAGCAGCTGGGGAGTGCTGACTGGGAGGGGAAGGTCAGCAATGCACCCTTCTCATCACCCATCCTTTGGAAGATTACAAGTTCTCACTCAACCCAAATCTCAGAAGAACATGTATATGAATTCATACTCAGGGCCGTGGTTTGATTGCCAACCTGCCTGTTCGAAACCCCAGCCTAAGCCCCCCAGTGGGGCACCTGAAGCCCACCCTAGACAGCATAGCTCCGCCAGCAGCCCTACAAGCCCCAAGAATTCCCCACTTCCCCATCTGTTGTCACCCTACTTTTCTGCTGACATCATCTTTGCTCCTAAATCCTACTTAAGTTCTACTGCCTCCTTGGAACCCACCATATTATATGAAAAACCTAGGTACCTGAAAGATTTCCTCCCTCACTACCTGCCTTCATGCTCCACCATTTGGCTCATTTTGACCTTGTGTCTATCTCACAGAAGCAAGTAGACTGCAAAGAAATTGTTTCCTGACCTTTGTTACAGGGACAGGCAACCCCAAAGTGATGCTTTAAATTGTTAGCTGCTGTCATTTTAGTGAGAATGAGTCTGCAGTTGCCTGTAGGGGAATCCTAGCTGGGAAGAGTGAGAACCCAGGGCACTGGGAGAGGTCACAGAAGCTCTGCAGCACTGCCCCTTCCTTTGCCAACACAGTATCACTGGCCCTCTCCTACACAGTCTCCCCAGTACCCCCTCCGCTGCCCCCTGTGGGCACCTGCAGCTTGCTTATTCGGGGCCAGCTCTCTCATAAGTCGATCCATCCTGTCTTGCACAGCACATGTGGCTCACCCTCCTGCTTTTCAGCACAGTGTGACGCTGGTGTCATCTTCCCTAACCTTTCCCACAGTTCTCTGGAGCAGGGGCGGTGCCTGTGTCCTGCTTGGTAGCTGCTTGTAAACAGGCGGCTGATGTCCAAGACCTCTCATCTGACTGACCAGTGCCATTCTACAGCTGGTTTTTTCAACTTCAGTTTTGCTGGCCTTGGCTAGAAGTACTTCTAAGTCTGGATAAGATGTGTACCCTAAAATGGTACATCCATCTGCCACCTTAGAAACTTCCACAGCTGCATTCCTTAATCCCAGCATTCAGGAGGCTGAGGCAGGAAGATTAATGATTTCAAGGTCTGAACCACACAGTGAGATCCTGTCTTAAAAAGCCAAAAGTATATAAAAAAGAAAAAGTATAAAAAAACAAAGTAATTTCTACTATTTTCATTTTAGGGCCTACAAGAAGATCAAAGTGGGAGGAAAAGCTATCTTTTTCTGTATGACTAACCACTTGCATACTCACTGAAAAGTTCTTAAAAACACAGGTTCATGGAATTCATTAGAAGGTAGGGTTCTATGTGTGAGTCTAGTCCTCTCCTGAAGGGACGGCCCTTGCCCTCTGGTCCCAGATGGCCTGGGTAGGGGTAGACAGACGCCTCCCTCAGCTCCATCTCCCGCATCCCTGGGCAATGCTGGCCTGCCTGGAGGTGCACAGCCTGGGGAGCAGCCAGCCGCGAGGCTCACCTGGCTTCAGCCTCCACCTCTGTCTCGGACTCGGCCTCTGTCTCCTCCTCCTCCTCCTCCTCCGTCTCCTCCTCCCATTCCGCTGCCCGCCCTTCCATCGCCTCCATCGCTGAGCTGTCCATGCTGTCCAGGACAAGCCCCACACTCGCCGGGTGTTTCCCCTCGACTGCGTTGCGGCTGCAGCCGGCGGCTCGGGTTCCCGAAGGGAGGGAGGGCGGTCCCTCAAAATAGAAGGCATCAAGTGTCACTAGCAAGCTGGCCTAGCGGCGCCCCAGCCCCCTACCGGCCAAGCTCACCATCCAGTACAGCAGACAGCCCACTTCTTGGGAGTGCTACCTTTCCCCCTTCCTAGGGGCTGCTGGAAGGCTTTTTCCTGAGGAGTGCTCCCTATCCTACACTACCCTGCTCCGGGCAACAGAGGTTACGCACCAGAGCTCTGGCAGTTGACTAAGGCCTCGCACCACGCATCTGCCCAACTCGAGGCTTGGCTCTGAACTACCGCACTGCACTACTACACAGCTCCTTCACTCTTCACCTGTCACTGGTGTCCTACTTCACCTGTCACAAGTGTCCTACTGCTCAACAACTGATGCCCAAGACTCTCAGCCCTAACAGCCCAGATCCTTTCTCTGGGGTCTCCTCCTCAGGAATCACCGCCACCTCAACTCCCTCTGCCTGAAAAGCACCTCCTTAGTTACCGGATTACTCATCATTCAAGATCACATTTCTCTACTAAGCTCAGGACTTCTCTTCCCAGTCCTAAATCAGCCTGTGCACCTTAATTCTCCCCAGGAGACTCTAACCCACCAGGCATCCCAAGCCCATACAATCCCATAAACCAGCAAGGTTACTACGCACACAGCAGGAGCACGATGAGTGCTTCCAGAGGACAACAGGGGACGTTAGACCCACCTGCTAAGCGCAGAGCATTCTTCACAGGGTAGAAGCAATTTTTTTTTTTTTCGTAAGAATGACTTCATAGCCAGGACAGCGAACATTTATTTTTAATTGTAACGGACTATTCACAGAGTTGTTAGAGGTGATGAATGGAGGCCGGGTATTTCACCACCTTGTATACACACATTAGGTTGGGGGACAACATAATACAGACAGCTTGGTCCCGTACAAAAGCAACCATTAATGGGCACAGGAAATAAAGAAGCAGAGTCCAGCCTTCCGGGTTTTACTAGCCCAGGTTAAACAGCAGCAATACTCATTCTTGTAACCCTAGCAAGGCTTTTCCTCAGGAGTCCCAAATGACCATGCTTCCACAGGACAATTCCTAGCTGTGGGAATTTGTTAAAAACTAATCAAAACTACAGGCAGCCATCGTATTTCTTCTGTTTAACTCAAAAACTCTTAGGAACATTAACATTTGCAAGATTTATCTGCAAAGACACTGAATCAATCCAAATTTTCAACTGTACTATACAAAGTGGACATCTTTTAAATTTCTAACAGCAACAACACACGCAAATATATAGAAATGCAGATAAAAATAAAATGATTTAGTATTCATCAAATAAGTAACCAAGAAGGAAAAAAGGTCTAAACAATTCTACCATTTGCATTATCTTGTGTCAGCCATTGGTTTAAAATCAAGTTGATCAACTTCTTCACCTATTTGCTACGGAGAATAAGCTGAAACATAGTAGGACAAGGTCAGTAAAAGCTGAGAAGAGTGGCAGTGAGGGAGGCCACACTGGGATCACTTCTAGAGTTTTATTAGGAAATGTCACAATACTGTAGGGGGAGAGCACCTTTCACTCTTAGTTATCCCTGAGACTGGCACAGTATCACAGAACTGTGTACTATGGCTATTATTCAATGACTATTCAGACTCATCACTAGAATAACCAATTATACTTAACACAGTCTGACAGAAGAGGTTCACAATGAAAAATAAATTTTGAGACTTTTTCAAGAAAAAAATTCATAAACTCAACTGTATTTAAAGTACAGTATTTTACACATAAATAATTTTATAAATTCACCTATGTGCAAACCTTCATTCCTAACAATGCCAGAGAAATGGGGTGCTAATGTGGCTTGTTAATCTGACAAGTGAACTGAATTTCCAGATTCTATTTTAATCTAAATAAACAAGCATAAAACATTCAAATCAGATCAAGATGATAACTACAGCCTCAGCCTCATTTCAAAAGCAAAGACTTTCACTGTAAAGGATACTCAACAAATTCTATATATAAACTTTATTCTATTTGACATACAAAAATTAAAAATTAAGAACATGAAAATATGAATCTTTTACAAGTCAAAGAAAAGCAAGTTTTAGCTTCTGAGTTGGCCTGCAAAAAATTCATTATAGGTACAAATTGTTCTACAGCAGGTCTGAAAGAAATTTGCAGTCCTTTAGAAAAAGTTAAAACTTGTTTTCAAGAGAATCTTTTATATTTAAATTTATAGGCATTGACCAATTTACAAATACTTATGTAAGTCAAAATCAACTTTAATAAACATTGTAGCTTTTTAAGCAGCCACCACTTTCATGTGTAAAATACTAAAAAAGGTATTTTATAAACATTAAGCTGTTCTTTACAATAATTTTATTATGTCTTACCTGAAACACTTTGAGGTGGCTTACTGCCTAAAAATTCCAGTTTAGATTATGTCTGTAACTGCACATAGAAAAAAATCTGATTCTATAAAAAGGATATAATCTGAAATTTAATGTTTCAGTTTGTGCTTCATGTCACAAGAAAAATAAAAGCAGGAAAACAAAAGTGCACATTGCACTCTGCTATCACGAAGCACAGGAAACAATCTTTTCAAAGTCTGAACCAACTCACTAACAATTCAGTGACAGTAACAGTCAGTGCTCACATTACTGTACTACAGTGCAAAACATATTGTTTCCACACAGAATCTAAAGCAATCTCAAGAGTGTGTCTAAAAAGCTCTGAAAGTACTCCTGAAATGCTACATGGATACAGTCAAAAAGTCTCAGTCTATCTCAGGGAGGTAAGTGAAGACTTAGAGGCAACTGTTCAGTATTTCATAACTCTGCAGTGATTTCACTGAAATAAAAGGTTTTACTTCAAGTAACTGAAAAGCTGACTTAAATTTTCACTTCATTAGAACAGACTTAAGACAATAAACCATCTCTATAGATGACATTTTTAAGTTTGATGAATTAGAACCTTTGCAAAATTCCACACAACTCCATTATTAGCATGTAACAGTTAAAGTTATAGCAAAAATCTGTTACTGGTTCAGGTAATTTCCCAAAATGTATTTAATTTGACTGCCTAAAAATTCATGCCATAGTATTACTAATCATAGATGTAAACATTTTCAAAAATACATTTTTAAATCAAAAGATTTTATTAGGAAATGCCATAATAAAATATGCACTCTTTATAGAAGTATGACCTTTTAAAAATAAAACATGAAAACAAGAACAATTAAAAAGAAACCATGATGGAGGTAAACAAAATGCATTATGATATAACTCTTGTTCTTTATTTCTCAGAAGACTGTAAGAAATAGAGGCCAGTTATCTTTTCAGGATAGCAGTTCTTAAAGGTAGTATAGTGTTCAAATCTCTTTTGTTTTTCAATCTGTGAAATGACTAGGAGAGAAAAAAAATTCAAAACACACAAAAAAAATGTTATTTAAAAACTACATTTGCATGTTGAATTTTTCTATTCTGGCTGACAAACTGAGAAGGCCTATGTTTTTCCTTTTTTTTGGAAGGGGGAGACAGGGTCTCGCTTCAATAGGCAGGATTTTATCTTATGATCCTCTTGCCTCAAATTCCTAAAATGCTGGGATTATAGGGGTGTACCACTGATCATGGTGCCAAAGGTCTAATTTGAATATGTTTGTAACACTTGCATTTTTAACTACTGTTAAGAGTAAAATCCATTTGTATGACTAAATAATGAAAAGTTATGCCTCTAAAATGAACTCACAGTTCTCTCTGACCCTTTTATCCTATGAACCAATCCTTCCCATGTCTCATAGTACACATTTCTGTTCTCTGAAAACAGGGAACTCAGGTAACAAAACCACTGAAGAATAAATTCATATCATGGACATAAACTTTTTTTTAAAACTTTTCAAAATAGTATAGAACAGTAGGTCCCTTGTGACAACATAGTAGAGAGAAGGAAAAGCATGAATTAGTTTGGCTTCCTTCCAAGACTGTAATATAGTTCCTGATATTTAAAGGAAGGGAAAGAGTCCATTAGGTTTTATTCAATCATTTTGGGAATTTTTAATCCCAATAAAAATGTTTATTTCTATAAAAGCTGTATTAATGAAAACAGCTAGTTCCCCTGAAAGGTAAAGCGTATTTCTTACAGCACTACATTATTGACTTAAAAACTTAAAGAGCTCAGGACTATCCTATTACATAAAATTTTTTCCTCCAAACTCAGAAACTTGCAAATGTTAGGCAAGCATTCTACCAGTGAGCTACACATCTAGCACCTTTCCAATTTTCAAAGCACACTAGGTTTATTAATCTCTCTGAAGTTAATCTGATGTACTGTTTACCTTTAAAAACTGATCCTTGATCATGTCAAATTTCTGCTTTTCATGCACGGCTCTGGCTGTATTTGTTCCATCAAAAGGTTCTGCAATGTTAAATGTACACAAGAAGAAGAAATAATTAAAATCAACTTTTTTTTTTGAGGTGCTAGAGACAAAACCTGGGATCTTTTGCATGCTGATGCTAGGCAACCATCCTACCTAGTTAAGCTATATCCCTATCATCTTTTTAATTAGGCTCATGTACATCAAACTGCCAATATATGATCACTTTTGACATATTAAAACAGCAATTTCATATGGCTTGCCCTAATAGCTTTACTAGATTTATGAATATAGAAAAATTTAATATAATTATAAACTGTCTAACAATGTAGCTAGAATTCAGTCAAAGAATGACCAAGAAAAGAGGAAAAATCAGGCATGTCAGGTCTAAATCATGAAAGTGCTAAAGATTTCTGAAGAATTGCAGAAAGTAAAGAATCTACCCTCAGGTAAACAAAAATAAGTTAAAGAATAAAACAGTGTCCAAAAAAATAAGCTCTATCTCCAAGAGAAGTGCCTGCTGACAAATGTTAGAAAAAGGTAATTTTAAATTTAGTTTTTATTTGTAAGTTGATTTTATCCAGCAGGAAAAGGTCAATTGGTCAACAGTGCAGGGAGTATGGAGTTAATATGTCATTAGAAAGAAATACAGTGAGAACATTAACTCTTATAAGCAGAGAAGACCAGGAGGAGTTTTTTTGTGTGTGTGTCCCCAACATATACATTCTGTGTGCATACCTTGATGCTAATTGTCTTTCATCCTCAAGATAAAGAATCCAGAAGGGGACAAGGAAACTAAACATAATACTCACAAATGGAGGATAATATAGGACATTAGAAATGAGAAGGGATGACATTGTCAGCGTATAGTAAAAATTACTAGACATTAAGAATTTTGGTGCTGAAAAATGGGATGGGAGTACTTGGAAGGATGATGTAAAGTGCAATTTTCAAAGATGAAAAACAAACGAATGCCTTACAACTGAAAGGGAGAAATGGAAGAGAAGAAAAATGGAACTGCTAAAACAGAAAAGGTAGCTGAAAGGAAAGCCTAGAAAAAATCTGAAAGGATCTATATCCTGATAGGTTGACTTTAGATTAGTCATATAATTTAAGCAGGCTCATAACTTTAATATTCAGAAGAAACACAAATAAAATATACACCCACTGTATAATTTATTAGCAAATCAAACAACAAGGCAGATTTAAATTCATACCAACACAATTAAGATGCTGCATATAATCCAAGATTAAAATATGCTCGATCTGATGGTGGTCATCTCACTTCATCAGGATTTATAAAGGTCTGCAATGTGGCATCTATAAGAGCCACACATTCTTCTTTTCCAGGGCAAGTGCTGGGGATCTAACCCAGGGTTTCATGCATGCTAAGCAAGCGCTCTCAGTTTTGTCCCTTATAGTCAGTTTCCCGCTAATTCATTCAAACAAAATGTTTCAAACATATATTCCACTACATGTAAATTAATTTTAGAGAACAAAACTATCTTCAAGCCATTCAATGTTTAAAGTAAAATCAAATTCATAAGAATCTAGCTTGTCTTACAGAATATTTTTAGTGTAAAATAGTAAGTTATTTTATTTCAATATAAAAATCACCCTATAAAGATTACATTTCCTTACATCTGTAAAGCACAAGATTAAGAATGAACCACAAGAATGCATAAGAACTGTTCAAATCCCTGAACCCCCCCCCCCAAAAAAAAACAGTTCAAATCTTAACAAATAGAAAATAATAAGTTCTCAAATTCACGTGTATTTCTCACAACAAAAGAATTTCAAATCAGCCGGGCGTGGTGGCTCACGCCTGCAATCCCAACACTTGGGAGGCTGAGGCAGGAGGATCGTTGCGAGTTCGAGATCCGCCTGAGCTACAAACAAAGTGAGCTCAAGGCCAGCCTGAACTGCATGGAGAGACCCTGTCTCAAAGACAAAAAAAAAAAAAAAAAAAACTTTAAATCATGCTTTAAATTAAAAATTTACAGCTAAAAGACTCATAAATCACTTCAGAACATAAATGTATCATTTTTTCACTAAGGTACAAGTTGTAAGCAGTCAGGTAATCCTCTCAGTACCATGACGCTAAATGAATGGTGAAGAGTAGTCATGGAGCACTACCTTCTACACAGATGTACTTATTTCTCCACTCAATACCATCAGGCCTTGGAATGGCTTTGGCTTCACGAACTGAAATCATTTGACTGCTCCAGCTATAAGAAGAAAAACACTAATGTCAACTATTTTCATAAATTTCCCTTTTTTCTATTAGTAGTAAAGCCTATCCTTATTTTCTTACAAAATGTCAAAACATGCCTCAACCCTCAGAACAATGCCTACTTGCCTCTATTTTTGGTTCTCTACACAGCACTTACCATCTTCTAACAACCTGCTTATTTACTCTGTTTATTATACTGTTATTGACCATATGCCTCTCCAAGTAGAATGAAAGTTCCAAGATGCTACCGTACTCATCTTTTTTTCGACTATTCAGTTAGTTACTATATATCAGATACTCAACACACGTTTACTAAATAAACAAAAGAGAAAAAATTTGAATGAACAAGTAAGCAAAAGTATATAAAAACTGCCAACAACACCTCAGTAAGACTTTTTTCACTTATTATAACATTAATGTGAGGTCTTCTGTTGTTTTCTGGCACCCCTAAATAATTTTTGTTCAAGTACATCTTTATTTGTATGACCTAAGAAAAAATTTTGTAATTTTCTAAAATAAGCAACTGAATATTGTTTTATGAATACAACACTCTATGAAACATAGTATTATAGTTACATACCACAAGAAGCTGTTGATAGTAAAATACTATTCAAGTGAAACAATTTCATCCACATTCCTGAAGGTTACTCATTTAATATGTGCTATACACAACTTTATACTTTGCTTTTTCAAAGACTTAAAAACTTCTTTTTCTTTCTAGCAGTTATTTTAAGTATCTTTTTTCAAAGAACAATCTAAAATAGATGATTACTCGGCTTATATATAACAGAAAACAACTGTGATGAATGACTTGGGATCTTGTTCTCGGCAGCAGCAGTTTTCTCTACCATTTCAGCAAGGACAGGCCAAAGCTTAGGACCCTCCAATTCAGACCCTCACTCTTCCTTGATGTGTCAGCCAATCTTTTCAGAATATAATCATGTGTCCACTAAGATATTTGTTTCTGAAAATGCTACGGTTAATTTCTGTATTAAATACGTAAGAAAAATTGTGTATACTGTACATTTTGGTCAATGCAAAGCACCCTGCAAGTATCATTTTCCATTTTGCTTTCATCAAAAATAATGTGTAAATACATTATACAGAGAGCTATCAGTTCTTTCATTTTAGGTCCCTCACATATTGCAGTTCCATTAGCATTAACTCCAAAAAGTCTGAGTATAGTGGCACGTGTAATCCCCATAACTAAAAAAATGAGGCAGGAGAATTGCAAGTTTAAGCCCAGACTGCACAATTTTGCAATGCAGCAAGACCCTGTCTCAAAATAAAGAAGACCAAAGATGAGGTTCAGTGCAGAGGCCCTGGGTGCAGTACCCAGAGGAGAGGGGGGAAGGTTGGGACAGGGTAGGGGCTGAGGAAGGGACAGGGAGAAGTCATAAACAGTATGTGACACATACATACACTTTATTAATCATCAACTAGGTACTAAGCTTCAACCAGCTCAAGTAACACTTACTTAAATGACTACCTCATCTGAAGTACTTCAAAGAAGAGAAACAGTTCTTTTTTCAAACAGTGGCAAAGTTTCATACTTATTACAGGGAAGAAAAAATAGGCTCTGAGAAGCAAGTTTGGATGGAACAAAAGTAGAAGAGAGAGTCAGACAGACAGACAGAGACAGAGAGACAGAGAAATAAATCCTACAGTGTAGAGCATTGAAAAATCACAAAAGCCAAAAGGATTTTGAATCACTACCACTTAGAATGATTGAAGTCTATGGCATTTTCAAGGAACTTTCAAATAGTTCTAAATTACTCTGAAATATTTCAAACATGATATATATTTATTTTCAGAGATGAATTTAAATGGTGATTTTCCTTAATTAATTTTTTAAAACATACAAGTCATCAATTAAGCCCTTTACCATACTAAGCCATTTTAACCATCATTTGTTTGCCAGTCTTCTGCATTTTATAGTAACTTAATAGTCCTTTATAGTAACTTAACAGTCCTGGGAACTGACAGGACTATTTCCAGGTACAATTCCATAAGCCTGCCTTCGTTTTAAGGATTTTCAACAGCAGGATGTAAAGTTATTATTTATTTTTACTTTACATTTTTTAAAAAAGACATACGGTCTGTCTAATTAGAGAATGCCTATGTTTAAATAGCCATATGAAACATCTGTAACATTTATACCACATTTTTAAACATCCTTTACCAGGCACTTAATCCCATCTTAAATAGAGGGAATTTTAAAATTAAATACTCCAAATTTAGAAGAAATCCTTTCTACTTTTTAACAGCTGCCAGAATTCTCTTAAGAGCACCTAATCTATTACTATGACTGTACGCCCTACAGTCAAATTTCTGATCATCTTTCATGAACAATGCGCTTGGCAAACGTGCTCTATGATGAAGTCTCAAAATCTATTTTCAAATATCAACAGCCTAGTTAGTATCATTTTGCCGAGCAAGGTAATTTCTATTAATATTAAACTTACACACCAGCATCTTGTTTCAGTTCAACATCAGTTGATTTTTCAGAGTATTTTTATCATATGACTGTATGTATGGAAGAAACACAGCTTTCTCCCATGAATCGTTTTCCCTTGAGTACCAACTTGTATGACTAAGGAGCTCAATACAGTCTACAATGTTACAGTTTTAGAGACAGACCTACATTAAATTCCAGTTCTCCTGCTAAGTAGCAGTATTGCTGTGGTTAAGTCTCACATACACAAAATTCCCTAAGCTTGACAGAAGTTTTAAGGATTAAACAAAATAAATGTCCATCATTTAAATATACAGGGCACTAGGTAAACAGGCCCAGAAAATCAAATGTTAGTATTTTAACATTTTAAAAGTAATTCTAGAACACCAGTAAACTTAAATATCATGTTCTGTTGTAACCTTACATTTTTTCCTCTTTTTCACATAAATGGAGGCTCTTGCTTTTTTAACCCTGCTGCTTCGGACTTACATTCAGATCCTGGTAACTTTTTAATCTGACTGTTTTAATTTCATTCTTCCTGAACTATTTTTTGCCAGCACCTTTCTGCTCTTCTCAATTCAGTAACTTTTAGTAACTTTAAGAATCCTCTGAGTCTAGTCCACAACCTCATCTTCTACTTTCATAATTAAAGTATTTATCAGATACCTATTATCTGGTACTAGGGAAGGTACAAGGGGCACAACTGCAAATAAAGCAGGCATAAGAGGTCTGGTATAAACTAAACTATGAAGAATGTGAATAATGTTTCTTCCTTCGTGTGCTACACTATAAACTGTCCTGAGTCAGGTTTCCTTATAGAGCTGTTGTGAATTCTACAGCGCTTTCAATAATAACAAACAGCCCACTGCAGCACACGTCATGTTCACCATTACTGCACCTGAAACTACCTGAAATACAACCCACACGAGCTAAGAGATCTCTGGGTAAATTATTCTCTCTCAATTTCCTTTTTGTCTATGCCTCACTGCGAAAGTATGAGGGCATAAAATAATACCACTTCACAGTTATAAAGTAAACTAAGCTAATGCACATATCCTGCTTAGAAGCATTTTGCTACAGTTAATAACTTATTAGTATTTCCTTCTTCAAACCCCTTCAAAAACAGTATGTTAAGGTCACTGTATCCTCTTTTATGTAAAATTCCTCTTTTTTCTTCTTCTTCCTTCCAATTTTCCCAGACTGGTAAGACCTGCTAACAATTTCTAGTCCTACTCTGTATTTAGAACTTCCACAAAAACTTTTAGTTCTGTCCAACCTGACTGTATACTGTTTCATATTTACACAATGCTCTCAAAACAAAAAAGTACAAGATATACTCCTTCATTTGCATAACACAATCCATTATTCAGACATCAAAGATAAATACAACTTTTGCAAGTTTATCATTGTTATATTTTTTACTATAAATTTTAAGTTCTTGGAAAACAGATGTTCCAACAGGACTGAAATGGCACATTAAGCCCCAACTATAAAATGAGGCAGCTACACATAAAATGAGATCACAATGAATAAACTTAAAACTAAAACTTTTTTACTTACTCAAATTCTGTAGCATAATATTTAAGAAAGCCTAGTAGGAGGTCCCCAAGACTTGATTCATTCTTTGAGAGGTAAGGAGGAATATTACATGGAGCTTGATGTACAAGGTGCAGCTGGATAGCAGGACTAAAAGATTCCTGTTTAAAAGAAAAAGAAAAAAAATCTAAAGCCATTTGAAATACATACTAAAATCCTTATAAATCCTTATCTAGATTCACTTTATAAACCCTTATCTAAATTCACTGAAGAAAAAGACAGTTTCTCTGTGTTGACAATTTGGAAATTTGAAGATTTTCTTCTACTTAAGATTTTAGCAGGGGCCAGGGATTTAGTTCAGGGGCCTAAGTGCCCGCCTGTTGAGTGTGAGGTCATAAATTTGATCCCCAGTATTAAAAAAAAATTTTTTTTTTTTTAGCAGTAATTCGAGTAACCCCAGATACCTGAAAATTTTAAGGTATTCTAATCCTTGGTGTGGGTGTATCATTTAGTTAAACCTTTATGTCAGCAAAGTATTTCTAACTTATAAATAAAATATTATATATGCCATGACTCCAGCCAGTAACAGGAATATTCTCATACATGTATTTCTTTAACTGTCCCTGTTAGGAACATATGTACTTTACATGAAGGCTGAACCAAGTACAGAGTATCAGTTTTGTCTACCTGCCATTTAATTTTCTCTCAGAGGCCACAAAAGTAGCTTCAATTATGAGAAGTATACTTATACTGATTTTAAGGTCTTCAAAATTTTGTTTTATTCTGCTTTTGGATTTTGTATTTCAGAGTGAAAAGAAGACAGATATTCAACATTAACTAAAAAAACAAAGTCAAGGAAAACAAAGCACACACATATATCACCAAACTTGTACCACAACAGTAATACAGGGGCATATTAACTGCCTTCCCAAAGGAGACAATCGTTAGAAAAAACTCATGGGTACTTGTCTTTTGGTCTGTGGCATCTGATCTTCGCACTATTAGCAGCAAGCACTAGATCTGAAATATACTAAGTGAATATTTTTATTTTTAACTAATACACATTCATAAATTAGAAAATAATCCTTTTTTCAAATTTTCTTTCCTTCCTTCCTTTTTCTGAAACTAGGGATCATATATGCTAGGCAAGCACTTTACCACTGAGATTGGGATAAAAAAAAATTTTTTTTATTTGTAGTAGGGCCTTAAAAATAAATTGCCCAGGCTAGCTGTGAACCTTTATGTCTCCTGTCTGTTTCCTAAGTCTCTGAGATTTCAGACATGAGCCACTGCTCCTGACAGAAAACAATGTAATTGTACAGTAATATCAAGAATGATTTTCTATGTTTCACCAGTGCCATCAGAACAGAAAGAACAGCTTTCTTCAAAAGCAATTGGTTAAAGCAACAGAGTAACAACTAGAGATAAAGTGGTCACACAAAAACCTACACACCAAACAGGTAGGTAACACAAAAACCTAGACTTTCAGGTGTTATTTCAATGGATAATACCTAAATAATACCAAGTTAAAATAGAAAGTAAAAGCACCCTAAATAACTAAATGTAGCATATAGAAACAGTAGTGAAGTACTGAATGCTAGTTCTCAAAAAGCATCAATCAAAACAAAAGAGCAAAACAATAAAAATCTTTACTCCCTAGTTATATTATCTACAATTCTACAAATAATGTTCACCTATCAGGAACTCTTTTTTTTTTTTAAGAAGAAAAATTCTATTGCAACCAATTGGTAGAGGCTGAATTCATGAACATAGGGATTTTCCTTTACATGTGTAATAGCTGCTGTTGTTACACCACAAAACTCAAGTGAAAATTAAGATGGGGGACTATTGTTTCTATGCCCCTTTGTCTCTCATTAGGTACAAAACTGTACTTAGGGTAACATTATTTACAACTACAAATTTAAATATTATTTTCTGGCAAGCTAAATAAGAAGTATAATATAGATCAAAAAGTCAGAAAGATGGTAGGCACAATCACTGTGTTAATTAAAAATTTAAAAAAACAGAGTCCTTATTTAACAGCTCCTGATCTGAAGGCTTCTTGTTCAATGATTTAAAGAAAGTATCAGCAATGTAAGACTAAAACTGAAAGAGTTAAGAGATCACCTCTTAAAATGCTACAAGACCGTGAACAACCTGATTAGTCTTCTCTTAGCTCCATGCTTCTCTTTTCATGATCATTACAAAAAGCCATGTCATGTTTACTGAGGAAAGATTGAAGGGGAAGAGCAAATGTTTTAAAAAAGGAGCTACAGGGAAACAGGAATTCTACCTATTATGAAACTCTCAATTTTTTGGTAATCATCCATATTACTGAAAGATCCTCTGCTTTAAGATGTCAACAAAAAATGTAAAAGAGAGCTCCCTTCTGCAGTGTCTAAGAGAAATATATACACACACTACCTCTGGTAGAATAAAGAAGTGCCAAACTTAAGCTAATGCATTAGAAAAGTACTTGAAGAGCAATATAAAATGGAAGGACAAAAACAGCCTTAACATTAAGCCCAAGCCAGTGGACAAGCAATTCTGCTGATGACATCTGTTCATTCATGAAATAAATTCTTTAGATTATCAATATTTATTGCAATCTTATTTTTAAATAAAATGAAGATTTACATTTCTAGAATTGTATCAAGACTCACATCATCAAATGTGTAATGACCTACTAATTCCTGAAACTATTTTCCAAGTAGTATTGAAAATGTTGACATTTTTGATGACATGTAATCTGCCACTTCTCTTCAATCAAAGCCAAGCTAATGCACATTTAAACTGCCTGTAAAGGCAACTTCTTGAAAAAATCTGAAGTCTGTATTTTTATCCATACAAGTGCCTACCAAAAATGGCAAAAAATATTTTTCTACCAGATTCTATCCATTTTCTTAGGCTGTAACACAATATCTTATTTATCTTCAGTTTGAAATTTAGACAACTAAGCACTTTCAAGAATAAGATGGCTCTATCGTTTATGTTGCTTTTTTAAAGTCAATGAGAAGTAGGAATGCTCAATAAATCCATACCATCACACAGCTTTTAGAGATGGTATCTTCATCCCTCCCTTTCACACTCAATATCATGAAATGAACTGAAACATATCAGTATTTTGAATATGTACCTTAAACATTATTTCCAGGGTTAGGGTGCAGGTCAGTCAGTGATACAGTACTTCCCTGGCATGAGTAAAGCCCTGAGCTCCATAAATAAATAAATATATATAAATATTTTATGATATGAAATATGAGTATTTTATTGTCATGTATATGTGTTTCAGTACCGGGATCTGAATCCAGGATCTTTGCACTGAGCTACATTCCCAGTTCTTTTTAATTCTTTTATTTTGAGAAAGGGTCTTGCTAAGTTATTCAGGCTGGGCTTGAACATGCAATCTTCTTGCCTTGGCCTCCCAGAGAGCTAGGCCTACAGGGGTGTGCCACCATGCTTGGCCAAAATTTTCCCTTTGTAAAGTACAAAAAAAATTTTTTGGTAAAGTTTTAAATAATTCCAAACTTAAAGCTGAAAGTTTGCGCTATCTGCTTTTCTTAAAGAAAAGCATCTAAATAAGAATAATCAAATACATACAAATAAAACTTAATAAGCAAGAGAAATTAGTTGAAATGTTATTAGGGAAGACTACTGTAATTTTGCCTTCCCTAAAAAATACAGTATAATAAAAAAATACTACTTTTTAATCTATTATTTGTTGCAGTAGCATTGGATCAATCATATTATCTTCATATAATCGTGTATCTTCATATATCTTCACATAATCTTAGTTTCTAATGAAACATAGTATCTTACAAATTCATTTGTTCAGAATTAAGGCAACTGTGTATGAAATTTTGTATAGTTAATAAATATTTATTATTACAAATTAGAAACAGGTTTATTTGCTCACTTTATTAGATGGACCACTGTAAAAGTGCTCTGCTGAGTAGCTTATGGGTTTCATACAAAACAAAAATATCTTGTATTAGGGGGTGGCAAGTCCTTATCCATATAAGCATCAATTTTATAATTTATCAATTTTATAATTTTCTAATATTTATAATTTTAAAATAAAAATGACCTGGTTTAAGCATTTAAGATGGCAAGATAAGACCAGACACAGAGGCACAGGTCTGTGATCTCAGCACTCAGGAGGCTAAGGCAGAGGAAGATCACTGTACATTTAAGGCCAGCCTGGGCTACAAAACGACTCCAAGGTCAGCCTGAACTGCATATGTAACAATATCTGGATATAAATTAGGACATTCATTCCTAACCTGGCAAGTCAGAAACAGGATTGTTAGGAAGCTAGGGTGAGAGTTCAGCAATAGTGGGTAAGCACAAGACTCTCACAAAGGGAAAGCTCAATAATGAGAAAAATGCCATGCAGAAGTAAACATGGAGCTGTTCAAACTAGAAAACATTTGTAAGAACCAAGATGGTATCTTTCTCCAAAGCAGCACCTATGCTCCCAAGCACAGCTCACTCAACTGTTATTTTTTATATTAGTAAAAAGGGTTTCATACAGCATAAGGTTTCACGTAAGATTTTTTCATAGCATTTTTCAATATACAATAAAAGTTTTTTTAAGTGTCAGTTTTAACTACTAGATTTTTGTACGCTAAAAAGCAGCTCTTTTTACACTGAAATCTGGGTCTCAAAGAAAAATAAGGCTGGAAAAATATAACAGTAAACAGTCAAATATTATCTCTAACCTTTCAGTATGAGATGATAATGCATGCTTTTAGAGCAAGGAAAAGAAATTTAATAAAGTCAAAAAGTTAACTTACTTTTATTACTGTACTTGATGCTTTCCTTTGTCATAACTTTTAAGACCAATCCCTAAGTGGCTGGAAGCTCATTCTCACAGTTCTTCATAGTAGCAAAAATCAGTTTTTAAAAACTTTCTGGAGGAAGATTCCAGAAAGTTGTCAAGAATGTTATCTGGTAGATGACCCATTAGAAACTGGGAGAGACCACTAAGGCAACACTGTTACAGAGAACCTTGCATGTGCACATTATAATAACTGATGTCCAAAAACAACATGGGATTCTTCTCAGTTACTGGGGGTTACATTTATCAAATGCTACGTGTTAAGTACATTTATTTTATTCTGTGGGATACACTGTAAGATCCTGAAAAATTGATCATACAAGCTCGGTAGTATGTTTGCCCCTTAATAAGGCCATTTACTAAGTTAGAAAACAATTCTTTTATGTATGAAATGTATACATTTGGCATAAACATGTACATGTTTACATATACAACATGAACAAAATAGGTAAAACTTAAGTGGTTTTAGAAGGCTGGTCAAACATTCCAAATAAGCAGGTTAAATATTATTTCCAAAACGAATCAAGAATAAGGATGACAGGACTTCCGGGAGAACATGGCGGACAGATAGCAGCAGCTACAGAGGCTCTCTGAGAGACCCAGCTTAGAATCCAGGAATGGTGCGGAGTAAGGAATCATAAGCAAGTGGAGATATGCCCTGCTTACCCAAGAATGAACTGGGCTGAGAGAAACCAACTGGGAATGCAATCCTGGTGCTATAACAAGAACAGATAAAGCCTCAGCGTGAAAGCTGGAGCCTACGCCATTGGAAGCCGTGATTTGGGTTTCCTGCCACTTCTGCAGCGTCTGAATCGGCTCGGCAGGGCGAGAGACGCCCGAAAGCTCTGAGAACGGGAATCGGTGAATGGAGTTAAGAACGGGACGGGCGGGGAACAGTGCATCGATCTGTGGTGAGTGAGGGAAATTGGACTCTTCCACAATCTAGCAGGCTCCAACAGAGGACATTCTGGGACCGGGCAGACTTGCCGGAACAGGGCGCTGTAGTGACTTCAGTCACATATTCCCCTCTCAAGCAGGATTGGTGAGCAGTGCCTAGCCTGCGTGACACTGCTGGCTGAGACCCAGTAGGCTAGCACAACCCAGGTCCCAGCGCCTGGAGGTGCACCCTAGCAGTGAAGCCTTCGGTAGGTTGACCTGGAGGGGTGGGCCCCACATTGGCTGCCAGGTCCTTAACTCCCTGGTGCACTCGATGGGTGGGAACACCTAGCCGGCGCAATTCAAATAGACTATGGCTGACAGGGAAGGAAGCTGAGCCTCCTATATATGCTTGTATATAAGGAACAAAGAGTATGGGAAGAGGGAGCAGCAAGAAAGGCTCCTCAGCCCCCAATCCTGAGAAACAGGCAATAGCAGACACGGCACCAATAGACATAAAGCGCTATTTCCAGAGCCTCATAGATGAGTTCAGGAATGAAGTTATTAAAGACCTGAAGCAAGATATAAGCAGAACAGTTAGAGAAATGCTAAGCACCACCCAAGAAAAAACAGATGGTGGAATGGAAGAAGAGAAAAAAAGGGGAGAACTGTTTGACAGAGAAAACATAGAATACGTGATGCAGGTTCAAAGAGATTACCAAGAAACTAAAAACTCTTATCGAAAACTGGCATAACAGCTTGAAAGAAACTAAGGATAGATTATCTGAACTGGAGGGCAAATTTGTAATATGGGAGAATGAAATGAAAAACTTCTTAAAAATAACAAAGAAACAAACAGCAATAATACAAAGACTAGAAGATGATAAGAGGATCTATAACTTAAGAATTAAGAACATAAAAGAAGAGGTAGGGAAATAAACAAATGAACTACAAGAGCTACTTACAGAAATAATGCAGGAGAATTTTCCTAATTTAGCAAAAGGTACAGATACTCAGATGTATGAAGCATACAGGACCCTAGCCACCTACAACTCAAACAGAGCAACACCCAGGCATATAATAATCAAAATACCAGAAATCCAATATAGGAACAGAATATTAAAAGCCGTCAGAGACAAGAAACAGATCACTTACAAGGGAACATCCATCAGAATTACAGCAGACTTCTCGGCACAAAACATCAAATCACAAAGAGCATAGGGGGAAATAATTCAAACTTTGAAAGATAATAACCTCCAGCCAAGATTGATATATCCTGCACAACTATCCCTGGAATTTGATGGAAAAACAAGGTGCTTCCAGGATAAAGAGGAACTAGGGGAATATGCAACCACCAATTCAATTCTACAGAGAATACTGCAGGTTATTCTAAAATAGAAAAATACCAAGATTCCAGAAATAGTGGCAGAGAGGCCACAATGAATGGAGCAGAAAACAAAATGAAGACAAACTGACAACTAATGACAGAAAAAGAGCTCAACAGAAATGAGGCAGAGAAGGTTGGATGGTAGGAAAAGCTATTTTGGAGAAAACGACATCATAATAGCTAGTGTTGATTTAGTAACATCTTGCTTTGAAGTCCCATCAAGCTTTTGCTCTTCTGTCTCCATTGGTCTTAACATGTTGTATCTTACTGGATTTTATTACATATGATAGGATAAACAAAAATTTTTATAGACAAGGAGATTATACAGAAACCATTGTTCGTTTTCTGTTAGTTGATTCTAAATACCCTGTAATACTGTTATTCTCTTGAATGGTTTTACATTGTTTTGATATATTTGATGCTACAGTATACGAAGTTATACTCAAGATTTCAAGGAAAGAGACAATATGGTAACTACTTTTTTGTCGCGATTATTTTGCAGTGAAACACTATTTTACTTAAATGGTTATGTTTTGATCTGTGCTGTTTTGTTGTTATGCCCTCTTTTATCTCAATTTCCATTTTATTATTTACTTTTTCATTTTTATCCTTTTAATTAAGGGAAAAGTAAATAAAAAATAGCAGGATATATTATAGTAACCCACTTTGATTTTCTATTCACTTGATTTAAAGCCCTGTATTGTTCTCACCATCTTGTTTTGACTGGTGTTCCTCTATTCTGTTTTGCTTGATAGTACCAGGTTTGACAGTTTAGGCAACAGCTGTGAAGATAGTGGGATTCATTATGACGCCCATTCTGGTTGACTATTACCTACTTTTGAAGACGTGTAATGTTTCCCATGTTTTGGTTTTGTTGGTTTGGTTCTTTACTGTTTTGTTCAATTTTATTATAACTGATGATATAGGTAATTCTATTTGAGATAGCGGGAGGCATTATGGTAACCATTGTTGATCACCTTGTATTGTTTTTACATTATCTATTGTATCCACCCTTTTGATTTGACCGACCTGTTCTGTTATGTCACATTTGGTTTTACTCTCTTCCAAAAAACTAATAAGAACTGTGGGTGTAATAAAACCAAAAATGTGTAATAGTTATTGTACAAAAGAGAGGAAAAGAAAGTGCTCGAAACGATATAACTGCATGTATATTTAAGTGTATAAGATAGACAATGATATTACTGAATTTTGTTGGATCACTGAACAGAACTGTTTGCAGTCTCACTGTTTGAATGTCCACTTTGTATGCTTTAATTTTGGAACTTGAACAAATATTTTTAAGATGACAATATGTAATCTAGTAACTGGTGATTTCCTACTGTTTAATTTTTTTCTGAAATTCTGTATAACTTGTACCCTTTTTCTGCTTTTTTTTTTTTTTCTCCTGAAATAAAAAATAAATAAAGAAAGAAAGAATAAGGATGACAATGGAGGTAAACAGATGGAGAGACTGCAAACCCCATCCCCAAGAGGAAACAGAATGCTGGAGGAAGAATATGCGAAAAACAGAGAAGAAGCAAGAATACATATAGCTTACGAATATGAACATTACATTACCTATGCTTTTCTAAACTCAAAGCAAATGCATGCTAATTATTTTCTAATAGACACACTTAATTTTTTTAAGTTTCCAATTAATCTCAGCATCCTTTACAAGGACAAGAATGTTACCTCTTGGTGTATTACTTGGCAAGATCAAATGAAAGATAAAAAGATTATCAATTATTTGACTTCTTAATTTTTCTCCTGCTTTTCAAAATATAAACATATGAGGCTAAAAAATTCTTGTAACAAAAGAAATGCTACAAAACTAATTTTGAAATCATATAAAATGTTATCATGTATGGAACTTAGCCTTATAACTTTTTTTTTTTTTTTGTATTTTTCCTTTTTATCGGTACCGGGGATCGAAGACACGACTACCTGCTTACTAAGGCAAGCGCTTATGCCACTGAGCTAAATCCCCAGGCCCAGCCTTATAACTTTTATGTCCACATTATTACTACATTTAATAATTATATATACACTTGACACATATGTATTATAAAAATGTATAAGAAACACTTACTGGGTAAATTTTTTGGAGGGATGGAAGAATGGGTTCAGGTAGGGCTATAAAAAGAAAAAGTTTAAAGCTTTCATGATTCACATAATTCATGTTACAATACAATAATCTGTCAGCTACACCCCAGGAGTTTATATTAAAATTCAAGTTTTAATTTAATGAAAACTGCTTCTTGAAAATGTAAATTTAAGATATATCTAAATTGATAATCTAAGGTTAATAATAATAATGTCTATTCCTATCTAAATCAATGTTCCTTCTGTGGATTTATAGTAACAAGATATCAAAAAACAGAATATCATTTGATCCAATATCAGACACATGCACATAAAGTAAGCAAGACAAAGATTATTCTACAGACAGTAAATGGACATTGTTGAAATGGATGTAGCTATCAAAAGTATATAGTTTAATGATATTATACCAGGAAAAAAACAACTCTATTGCAATTATTCTCTATAACTCAATTTCTGCTAACAATCACAAAACTGAAATCATTCCAGGAAAATGATCTATTGAAAAAGTATCTAAATTGCAAAACACATCTTCATATATTTTTAAGAGAGTACTTCAGCAAAGATTAGAAATCTAAATCAGGAGATTTGATTTACTTTACTAAAAAATAAGTGAAATTTCATACAAAGAAACTATTATCAAAAAAAATTATCGTCATTTTATCTTTCTTCACCACTAAATTGTAATACCCAAATTCAATCTCATTAAATGCATTAACAGTAATTTTATATCCTCCTGAAATAAACAATACAATGTCTTAAGAATGGCAAAAACAGAAATTATACATTTTCAAGACTTCTTTCATACTAGAAGTCAAATATAATAGCATATGCTAACTAAGGATTAGGACTGTAATTAAAATATATTAAATATATAATATTTAAATATATTAAAATATATGCTAACATAATTATACTCAGTAACAAAAAAACTTTATACTCAATAACAAAGAAACTTTCAAATATGACTTATGGAATACAATAATGTTATACACTATCAACCACTAGACCAAATGGCAGGGTCTCCAACTATAATTATAAATTTATACCACACAGTATAGAGTAGGATAATTTAAATTTCCCTTCTATATCACTGCTACATTCCCAAACTGAAAATCGGAATCAAATAAAATTCTGTAATAATATGAATGGATATAGCATATGACAGGATATTAGAAGAAAACAAAGACATATTACTTACCAAAATCACTCTTAGAAGAAAATAGACAGACAGACAGACAGACAGACAGATGTCTATATTGTATCTATGCATACTGTTTCTTCTCCAAAGGCATTTAAATGCTCAAAGTTCTAAAGATCCTCCAAGTAAATTCAAGTATCTTAATAGTTTTCTCTCAACTTTTACTTAGTTATCTTTTCATATATAATCTACTATTGAAATATATTCTAGGGAATATCTTAGTCTTTTCAATCTTTCTAATGCATAGAAGGTAAGTTTCCTTGCTAGTAAAATAAAAAAATATTAGAATACTTAAGAAATTAAAGGAAATTTAAAGGTCAAAGACTCATGTTACAGATGAGAATATGAAGGATATAGAGGTATAATAACTTGATCAAATTCACAAAAAATAGTTCTTTGTGGCAGATCCAGAACTGCTAAGTGTAACTTGCTGTCTCTTATATATCTTTTTCCCTCACAGTAAGGCAATAACTACTATGAAAGCAACTACATATCTCAATCACTAATTTCTTCAATGGAGGAGTAGCCTTTATTTGCCAATACAGAGTTACATACAATTTCTGGTCATTGATGTTTAACATAGACCTAGAAATGGTTTACAAACCACTTAAGTAAATGGAAGTACCTCATCAAGACAAAAATTAATTTTATAAAGTTAAAACCAGATTTTATTATGATTCATTACACCGATAAGATTCAAATGCTTGAATTTTCAACTTGTTTAGTGCTTTTTTTTTTTTTTTTTTTTTTTTTTTTTTTTTTTTTTTACTTTTTTGAGACCAGGACTCACTATGCAGAACAGACTGGCCTTCAGCTCACTTTTTTAGTCAAGCTGATCTTGAACTTACAATGATCCTCCTGCCTCAGCTTCCCAAGCGCTAGGGTTACAGGCATGAGCCATCACACCTGGTTGCTTAGTGCATTTTCTAAAGAAATCAATCAAATTAAATATTTTATTGTAAGAAGAGACAGAATATATTGTGGCTGTTATACATATTAAAATCTCTACTTAAATCCAACTTTGAAAACACTACTAAAATTAAAGTGTAAACAGACAGTAGACGGTGATATATTATCTTTGTATTATAAATTTTACAAGAAAATCTACTCTATTCAATTCTTAATAAGTGAACTACAATACACAAAAGGACAGAAGCCACTAAAAACTAGTAGTATACTTCAAACTGAATACTAAAATTGGACAAAAAAAATGATTAGTGATACATAAAGTATTATCTAAAACAACCAGCACTGTATTTCCAATCCTTTTAAAGGGGAAATCAACATCAAATCTGTGGATAAACAACTGACCACGAATTAAAAACATATTATGATGAGCTTGTAACTTTTAATGATGAAAACAAAGATTATCAACCTTTCTGATTAGTTCATTAAAACTTAGATCCACTTAACTATTTCAATTCTTTCTAATTCAAAAAATGTTATTTCATTGCTCTTTTTCATATATAGCATATCTAATATATTAAAATATAAAAAAACAAATCAAACTGTCCATAAATAATGCAATACTGTACATACGTCTTCAGTAATATATACATAAACACAAATAGTTCTTTTTAAAATATTGATATTATGATGCATAAGAAAATGCATCTTTCATATCATTAAATTTCTTAAAATCATCATTTTCATATTATCTACATTATAATTAAACCACTTCCCTTATCTTAAAAACTACAACTATTTCAAGAAATGCTACCAAAAAATAACCTTATATATAAATATGTATATGCTATTACCTTCATAGAAATTCCTAGAAATGGAATCAAGTCAAAGAACATGAACATAATTACTACAACATGGCTTTCCAGAAGGGTTGAACCAAACTGATACTCTCACTTTAAAGGTGTAAATTACATAGTCATTTTTTTCTTAACTGCCAATTTAGTCCATCATATGTCATATACATTTGCAATTAAAATTTTTGGTGATAAATAGGAGTTTAACTTTACAGTTTGAAGTTAACAAGCTAAAATGCCAAATTCATGCTGAAAACCATATCCCTAAATGAACAAAGAAATAAAAGATTGACATCCAGTGAAAATTAAGAACATTAACATGAATCACTTTGGTCAAACAATGGCACCCTATTTTCAGACAAGGTTACAGATGTACACAAAAGTAAAATTAAGATTTTCTTAAGAACTACCTTTGAGATAAATAAGAAATACAGGTCATAGATTCACCCATCAAGGTAGAAGTTTCCTTAATTATGATAAAGAGAAGAATAATAGACTGAGTGAGAGAGAGAAAAAGAGAGAGAGAGTGTGTGTGTGTGTGTGTGTATGCGCATGTGTGTATGCGCGCGCGTGTGCGCACAAGGGAGGTAACAATACTTTTAAGGATGGTCTCTTTATTACTGTGAGATTATATACATCTTACCTTTTTGGTGTAGTATGTACCATTTTATGTAAGTCATGGTAGCAGTAGATTTTATTTCTGATAATTAATAAGACAAAAATGAAAAAAACAGGTCCTGCTAAACTTTAAAGTCTTGGAATAATGCCATAATGCACAGAGGTAAAGAAAATGTAAAAACACTATTCATTTAAGAAAACAAAGCTTTTGCAAAAAAGAAAAAAAAAATACAACCAAATATACATTCATTTATAGTAGTTCGTTTGACCAAAATCTGGAATTAACAAAACTGAACGTGGCATTTAATGTTTGACTAGATATATTTTGAAACCTAGTAAAGGAAATAAAGTTGGAAAAAATAAACATTAACAAATTTGGGTGTGGAAATAAGAATAACTGGAGTTTTCTTCCTTCTTTCCACTTTAGTGTGCTTTCGATTTCCAGTGTGTGTGTGAACAACTTATTCAAACTGAATTTTTAAATATAAAATAATTAAAATTTATCATAAACTTTTAATTATGACTTTAAATATAGTCATTCTGAAACAAAAGTGCCAAATTAAGTTATGTAATCAAGAACCTCACTAATGCTTCTACCCATTAAAATGCTGAAACTGAATAATGGAGAAATAATCTTGTTCATTCATTCACTGGAAGTAATTTCTTATTCTAGGGCAGCCTTCTGAAAATAAGGGAATTTCTAACAATCCACTATGTCCTTGAACTGCCCTTTCTCAAAGCACTAGGATGACCATCTTTTCGATCCTTCTATGAGTAAATCACTCTACGAAGACATGTTCAATTTGATCATTATCAGCCTATTCCGTATCAAAAAGAAGCATGGTGTCCCAGGACCTTACAAAACTATACTTTCCGATCTCAACTACTGATCCATACACCAAGAAAAATATGCCTCCTCCTTTTCTCTGAACCCTTAGTTCAGAAGCACTGCTACACAGGCATTAGATCCTAGATTTTGCTTCCACCTTTAACAAAACTGCTCATATTAACTGTTATCATTGTCAGAATCTAAATATAAAAGGCACCAAACAATGCTTTTAAACAGGTTTTTTTTCAAATATCACTGCACTGTAATAATGTTATAGATCACATAACACTGATACAGAAGAATCATAACTTCTAAGCTATTAGATGTGCCAAGTTCATGTTCCCTGAAATCAAAGAATTAGTTTTAAAGGATAACAGAGGTTAAGAGTAGGAAAGGTTTATTGAGAGGTAGGCTGTCCAATGCCCTTTGTTAGAGGTAATTTACACAGCAAAGTCAAATAGTGGGTACAACATAGATCAAAGTATAGCCAATCTATTGAGTTTCAAGTATAGATGCTTAGCTAATATTGGTCCAATAGGGAAGACAAAGGCATTTTGGGGAAAGGATGGGTCTAATGCTCTGGTTACCCACCTGGGTGACTGATACCTAATCTGGACTTGCTGCG